AATTATGCAATTTTGCGAGACAAATCTTGATATTCCGGAAGTAGCTACATATTTAAACTGCTGATATCAACTGATATTGTTGATAAAAACAATCTCTGAGCTATTCCACATGATCTTGCACTAAAGTTACCGAGATATCGTTATCAATAAACTCAGCTACTAGTACCTTTTGTTTAAAATTATGCAATTTTGGGTGACAAATGTTGATATTATAGAAGTAGCCGCATTTTTAGCTCAAAGGTCGTATTTATCAACAATATCAGTTGATATCAGCAGTTTAAATATACAGCTTCTTCTATAATATTAAGATTTGTCACCTAAAATTGTATAATTTTAAATAAAAGGTACTAGTAGCTGAGTTTATTGATAACGATATCTTGGTAACTTTAGTGCAAGACCATGTGGAAAAGCTTAGACATTGTTTTTATCAACAATATCAGTTGATATCAGCAGTTTAAATATATAGCTACTTCCGGAATATCAAGATTTGATTTGCAAAATTGCATAATTTTTAACAAAAGGTACTAGTAGCTGAGTTTATTAATAACGATATCTTGGAAACTTTAGTGCCAGATCATGTGGAGAAGCTGAAACATTGTTTTGTCAACAATATCAGTGGATATCAGCGGTGTAAAAATGCAGCTACTTCTATAATATCAAGATTTGTCTCCCAAATTTGCATAATTTGATACAAAAGGTTTATTAATAAGTATTATTATTAATAATTAATAAACAAGAGTTTATTAATAACGATATCTTGGTAACTTTAGTGCCAGACTATGTGGAAAAGCTGAAACATTGTTTTGTCAACAATATCAGTGGATATAAGCGGTGTAAAAATGCAGCTACTTCTATAATATCAACATTTGTCACCCAAAATTGCATAATTTTAAACAAAAGGTACTAGTAGCTGAGTTTATTGATAACGATATCTCGGTAATTTTAGTGCAAGATCATGTGGAAGGACTCAGAGATTGTTTTTATCAACAATGTCAGTTGATATCAGCGGTTTAAATATCCAGCTACTTCCTGAATATCAATAATTGTATTCAAAATTTGCATAATTTTAAACAAAAGGTACTAATAGCTGGGTTTATTAATAAAGATATCTTGATAACTCTAGTGCCAAATCTTGCGGAAAAGCTCAGATATTGTTTTAACAACAGTATCAGTGGATATCAGCGGTGTTAGTGTGCAGCTACTTCCGGGATATCAAGATTTGTCTCCCAAAATTGCATAATTTTAAACAAAAGGTACTAGTAGCTGAGTTTATTAGTAACGATATCTTGGTAACTTTAGTGCAAGACCATGTGGAAAATCTTAGAAATTGTTTTTATCAACAATATCAGTGGATATCACCGGTTTAAAAATGCAGCTACTTCTATAATATCAACATTTGTCACCTTAAATTGCATAATTTTAAACAAAAGGTACTAGTAGCTGAGTTTATTAATAACGATATCTTGGTTACTTTAGTGCCAGATATTGTGGAAAAGCTCACAGATTGTTTTTATCAACAATATCAGTTGAAATCGGTGGTGTAAATATCCAGCTACTTCCGGAATATCAAGATTTGTCTCCAAAAATTGCATAATTTTAAACAAAAGGTACTAGTAGCTGAGTTTATTAATAACGATATCTTGGTAACTTTAGTGCCAGATCATGTGGAGAAGCTGAAACATTGTTTTGTCAACAATATCAGTGGATATCAGCGGTGTAAAAATGCAGCTACTTCTATAATATCAAGATTTGTCTCCCAAAATTGCATAATTTGATACAAAAGGTTTATTAATAAGTATTATTATTAATAATTAATAAACAAGTGTTTATTAATAACGATATCTCGGTAACTTTAGTGCCAAATCATTTCTCCCAAATTAGCATAATTTAACACAAAAGGTATTAGAATGTTTAAGTCAGTTACTGGTAGCCAGTTACTAGTAGCTAACTTTACTTGCTTGTCGTAGCTAGCTACTAGTAGCCAGTTACTAGTAGCCAACTTTACTTACTTCTCGTAGCCAGCTACTAGTAACTAACTTTACCACTTGTCGTAGCCAGCTACTAGTAGCCAGTTACTAGTAGCTAACTTTACATATCTTTTATCTTTAAGGTAATGTGTAAATCATATAAAAACCTGGTATTTGCACCTATGAAACGTCCGTTTATCAAACCTTTTTGGGTATCACTTATAATACTGGTCAACACATTCTTAATGAGATTTGCTATGTTACTAGAACCAATTTGTAATTAAAATTTAAAAATGAAATATGTCTCCAATTTTTCATATATCTTCTATCCTTGTCCTCTTTTGCAATGCATTTAATTACTCCCAGAGATTGGAACTGTCAAAGTTTTTCCGTTAAATACCCTTTATTTATTTATTTTTTGTTTAAATATTTTTAGTGTCATTGTGCATTAATTCCTGAAGTTTCAGAGAACTTTCACAGTTGTCCCTTTGTTCATCAGATGATTTGACATTATGTTGTAAAAAAATATTTTCACACAAATCGTTTCATTATTAGTATTTCTTTTTATTTTTGTACAAGTTTGAGAAAAAATCCTTTGTTCATTCAGAATGTCAGACTGGTCTGCAGTATCATTACCATCTGAGTTTATTAATTCAAAAAAAATTTTATTTACAAAATATCTACTTTCTAATTAACAAAAATAGTCAAAATTTTCCCCCATTTCATACCACGTAACTTTTGAGCGTAACATAAAACCCTCTATACATGTATAATTTGACCTAGATTTTTGTGAAGTTTGCTTTTTTCTTCAAGTGTCAAAATATCCTCTGCTTTCCATGAAATATTGAATTTTCCTTCAAATTTTAAAATATCTTTTTCTAGTTTTTTCCCCTTTCTAGTTTTAGTTTTTTGGGCATTATAGAAGAATAGTCTGTTTAGGATCTGATTTTCATTTTCGGGACTTCTCAGAAGAATTGATTACTTATATACTAAATTGAGTACTCTCCCTTTGCTCAATATCTCATGATATAACATATTTGTGCCCCGCTTGAAAAGTGGGGGGTATTAATTTGGGTCTGTCCGTCCGTCCGTCATTTTGTCTGTCTGTAACGCTTTCGTTTCCACACGATTTCTCAAGAACCCTTTGAGGTTTTGCAATAAAATTTTGCATAGCAACTCCCTATGGACTAAAGAACCCTATTGATTTTGAGGTCAAAAGGTCAGAAGTCAAGGTCATGAATTCGCAAATTCTGTCCGTTGTAACACTTTCGTTTCCGCGCGATGTCTCGAGAACCCATTGAGCTTTTACAATGAAATTTTACATAACAACTTCCTGTGACCTAAGAAAGACCCCTAATGATTTTGAGGTCAAAAGGTCAAAGTTCAAGGTCATAAATTTATACATTCTGTCTGTGTGTAACACTATTCTTTCCGGGCGATATTTCCTCTCAAAGTGTCCCGCCCGTTTGTTTTATTGGTATTTATTGTATTACATGTCTCTATTTTTAGTACAGGGGCATGAGGAGAGTTATTACGTATAAAACAGGTTCTCGGCGGACTTTATTTTTTGTTACATCTATTAGAACTGTTTAATAAAGGTTAAATTGGACACCATGCATTGTGTAAAATTTTGACAATATCGAACGTGAATATAATACATGTATGTGACTTCATCTTTGCGTATAATTTTCACCAGTTTAAAGCGGTTCCGTGGTGTAGTGGTATGTCTCTCGCTTTACATGTAAGAGGTCCCGGGTTCGAATCTAGTTTTTTCCGAAATACTTATTTTACTAAATGACAGTATTCAGCACGCGAAAATAAAAAAAAAATGATGAGGTCTGGCTTGTACAAACTCATAAAGTCATCATTACAGTGTGATAATTATTCCAAATAAAAGAATCTTCTATACACATAATAAAGAATAAGCAATCAAATCTTTATATCCATATTGGCATATTTTATTTGCTACAGTATATGCATGTAAACATTTAATAATTCTACAAATTCAGTCAGGGGGATCCGACTCCCCCCTCCCCTTGAACTGCGCATGGTTTACTTTTTCCCTAAGCGGGGGACACAAATTCTCTAAATTAGCTTGTTTATAATTGTTTCTAAAATACATTGCTTGACTTTTCTATATACTCCTTTTCATGTTATAAGTGACAGTTAAATTTCCAAATACTGTAATTTGTTTTGAATTTTGATACAATTGCTGAGTGGTCTGTTATATACCCTGGGATTATTTTGGTATCTAATACTCTAGTAAAAATGCAATCAGAAAAAAGAAAATAATCAATATTACTTTAATAACTAGATTTGACCTTCTCCATATGTCCTGCCTGACTTCCTCATTCCAAATTCTCCATGGATCATGAATTTCAAGTTCACTTTTTATATTCTTTATTAATTTGCCTTTGGATTATTAAGATTCCTAACACTGAAAGTGTCAAGTTATTTATTTTGGACAACATTTCATCCCCCAAACATGAGCATTAACATGTTTATTAATTTTGTAATTTCTTCGTAAATGTTCTGAAAGAATTCTGGATTATCATTATTTAGACCATACAAATTTACCAATGTAAATCTAAAAGTATTTGCTGAAATATCCATTATGATATATCTACCAAAAGAGTCACATTTACCGGAATGGATATCTAATTCAAAGTTATTTTTGAAAAGTATTTAAACTCCAGATCAGCTACTTGTATAACTTAATCAAACAGGATTTGTAGCCCCACTCTGATTCCTATAACCTTGAAGTCTTATGAGTACTATTTGTTTCTTGAAACCAAACAAAAGAGATATTTTTTTTTTATTTCTAACCAAATTAAAAACATCTCTACATTGTTGCATGTAAGAAGAAAAAACTCCTAGATTCATACTCAATGTTCCTGACATTTCTTTGTTGGTCATTTTAGTTGTTACATCAATTGCCATGAAAGTTTTTCATTTTTATTGAACAAAACTTAAAAGAAGGTGCACTAAAACTCAAAAAACAAAACATACACACACACTCCATGCATACTTACATCACTGAAAAAAATAATTCTAACTTTATGATTCTTTTAAAGCTGGAATGTCTTGCATTTACAATAATGATTGTCATGGGTATGGTTGTGGAAGCGGTTTGTATCCACAATGTGCTAACCTAGACGGTCACTCTCGATGTCTCTGTGAAGGTAAGTAATTTCAAAGTAGCGATTAACTTATAAAACGCTAAGGAATAAACAACATGAATTTTCTATTTTCACTTTAGCATCGTCCCCATCCACCAGACATGAATGTGAACAAAGTTCCGACTGTACTACATGCTCCGAATATGAAGTTGGCCAGTGCAACCACAACCAGTGTACCTGCTCTGGTAATTGTGTAGAATCATACTGACAATTTAGATGGAACATGGGGTAGTATTAAATAGTACAGAGGATAAAGAGAGAAAACCTTCACGATTATACAGAGTGACATAAATACAATTTCCTCAGTTGAGTAGGGAAATTTTAAAGAAAATTTGGCAGGTTCTTATAATGGAAATACGATTAACATTGATAAAACCTTTTTAAAATAATGGACATGTACTATGTATAAGAAAAAAGCAGAACAATGTTTAAATTCACTTCACCACTTGCCAGTCATTTTTAAAGTTAACGAGCATAAAATTAATTAATGGACCAGACAACCAAATGTATATATAGTCTGATTTTTTGCACTTTAAAAACAGACTCAAATCTGTCGTGTGTTCGAGAGATTCAATAAGAAAAAAAAACATTTTGCTAATTTAAAACGAATTGCCCTTAACATAATAATTATCAATTGATTATGTTTGCACATGAAAATTGTTGCAACTGTTTAGTTCTTGACTGTAGGAAAAATAAAATGCATTTAAACGAAATAAACGCTTTTCTCTAGTCCGATTTTAAGAAAAAGTGATAATAATACGATTTTTTTCTACAGCCGAAATGTCATGCACTTACAACAATGATTGTCATGGGTATGGTTGTGGAAGCGGTTTATATCCACAATGTGCTAACCTAGACGGTCACCCTCGATGTCTTTGTGAAGGTAAGTATTTGTACTAGTTATGAACAATTTTCTTGGAAGTTAATTAATTTGACATGAATTTTCTTTTTTCACCATAACAACGTCATCATCAAATAAACACTAATGTGACCAAAGTTCCCACTGTACTAAATGTCCCGAGTATCAAGTTGGCCAGTGTAACCACAACCAATGTACCTGCTCTGGTAGGTGTATAGAGTGATATGAACAAACAAGACTGAATATGTGATAATATACTCAACAAAAAAGGAAACGCATATTGTTTTACCCATCAAAGACATTTTGAAAAAGTACATAGAACAACTACCGTTTTATCATTGGATACCTGTGGTCTATTAAAAGGACATTATGGATTTTTTTAAACCCAAGTGTTGAGTTATATCCCTTGAATAATAATCTTTATGATAATAGTGTTTTTCATGATTTCTTGTAAACTGGGGGTCTATTTTCATTGATATTTTGGATTTAGAGAAACAATAAAGACTCCTATTGAACCCGATTTGATTGATGCTGCAATGTCACGCCTTAACAAAGATGAACGCAACACGTGCTAACTATGATGCATTTAGTGTACATCAATCAGCTTTGTAGCTGTTTAACGTACGTCTCCACCAGCTAAAAACACGGATGACAGACCAAGAATTGGCCGTCAACGGGTTACCCACACCCACACAGGACCGTCAGACCCCCCTTCAGCAATCGATTAAGAACTGCTGCACAAACTGCTGCTACAATTGCTGGTTGAGGGAATCAGCATAAAAGTGCACAAATTGTTCGCAAGAGACACAGGAGCTGGTATTCGGCCACAACATCCGTACATTGGAAACTCAATAGCGCTGAGACGTCGCACAGTAAATATTGTTATGCCCCTTGAATTTGGGGGCGATGAAAACAACATCAACTTGAATTTTTAATTTGCAACATTGGATATGTGTGATTTTTAGCTCTACTGGTCAGAGACCAGAAGAGCTTATGCGATAGTAATGCGTCTGTCTGTCCGTCTGTCTGTCTGTATGTCTGTAAGCAATTTTTCAAAATGCTACTCCTCCTACAGTTTTGGTCCGATTTCAGTATAACTTTACACACAAGTAGACTACACCAAGATAAATAATTATATGCATCGGTTTTTGATTTCGATGAACGGTGTTGCCGTGGTTACTAAAAATAGAAATGTCTGTGAAATTTTTTAAAATGCTACTCCTCCTACAGTTTTGGTCCGATGAGCGGCAAGGATCATTTTTCTTTTTATTGCTGTTTTAAAGTTTCAAATCCCAACTGCTACTTTTCTCTTCCTTTGTTTTAAATATAAACCAGTAGAGCTACAGTCTCGACAGAGACTTCTGGTTTTTCCTCGGATCAACCTTGGACCCAAGCAGCAGAGCAATAAAATATTAACAGATCTATTTTTCGATCCATTGTCCTTGCTGGTTATTATTCAGGGTCATTCAAAAAGCAGTGTAACAGACAAGTGACGGCGTCATATCATTAAGGAGACCGACTGGATTTTTTTTATGTAAAAAACTACTGACCGCCGATGGTCGGACGATGATGGAAGGTTGGTCGATGGATAACTGCAGTTGAAGAAATCGGTCACCGACGTATGAAAAATTATAACTTGGACCGATGGACACAAAATTGGTCGGCCGACAAAAAAAGAGGTCAAAATCGGCCAAGACAACGGCCGATGAACTGACGACTGTTACCCGAAGAATCCCATTTTTGCTTCAAAACCCGTCGGCCGTTGGTCGTTTTTGGAAATTTGACTGGGGTTTAAGAATACACAAATCGTTTTTCTCAAATGACCTCCTAAATGCTAATTGTGACGTCATTAACTTGTGCATTTTCCCGTATTTTCTTAAAAAGTTGCAGAAGACATCAATTTTCAGTGGAATTTCTTTCAGAAAACATACGCTGCCACCGTCGCCCACAAATATTTTGAGATATGTATTTTGAGATATGTGATTTTTCATGGCAGTTTACATATCATATCCAAAAATCGAAGTGGGCGACAGTGGCAGACACTATTTTATAAAGGAAAATAAGTACAGAAATGAGTCATTCTGAGGCTTTTCTACAATAAACCTAGAAATATTCCAGATATGACGTCATATCTCCAGAATGGTCCTCCTCATGCATATTCTTTAATTATTTATCATATTTAGCTACTCAACTATTGTTAAAGCCAATTTCATAACTTTTTAAGAAATTAAAATTTCTAGGGCACAATACAGCCCAGATTGTACCATCTTCTTGATAAAATTCGATATCTTATTTATTCTTTGAAACCTTATTTCTATATATTTGATAGATGTATTTTCACTTGATGAAGCCATGATTTATTTCTTTTTTTATTTTTTGCTTCAAAGAACATGACATTTTTTTTAAAGTTTGTACTAATTCGCATAATATACAAGTTCATGTTGTTTAGTTCTTGTCATACTTGTTATCAAACCAACTAGGAAAATGTAAAATTACAAGAATTTCCTATTATAAAAAGTAAAGAAATCGGGGGAGGGGGGGGGGGGGGGGTGAAGAGCGACAGACGGGGCGTGGGGGTAGGGTTAGTACATGAATAAGTGGATATAAATAAACGCTGTCAAATTATTAGAATTGATTTTATCAAACATAAAACATTAACACAATAAAAATTTCATGTTCGACTTCACATTTTTGTGAAGCCATAAAAGCCAGACGTATACCGGTATGGGCCCTACCTATCATTTGGGTAGCGCATTCGATAACTATATCTATATTGTCAAGGGAAATTGAATCATTGATCACATTGGAATTTTGATGATAAAAACAATGTTGTAAATAAATGCCCTGCATATAGAAATTAAATTAATTCCCACTCTCCCATCCTTCTCTCTTTCGATCGTTTTAAACCTTTCTCTCAATTAATCGAAGTGTCAAACGATGAGAATAATCACTGACTGCCAAAAATCTTGCAATTATGCGATGAAATTTTTTACCAGAAAAAGCTAAGGGTTATGTAACCTAAAACAGGCGATACTACCTCTTTTGACTTCAAATATATAAAGAGACCATGAGAGAAGGCAAGAGTATTCTCAGCAGCAATCATTGTTCTTTCAACATACGCAGGTATGTTAAGGTTACAACCAAATACTCTACTTGCCTATATGATATGACGTCATAGTAAGCTATATGACGTGAAGTTTAGAAAATAATTTCTTTAAAATCGATATCTGATTCCAGGTCGTAAAAATAAATCAAAATATACAGAGGCATAAAATAAACGGAATTTTGTCGTTTCTTGGTTTCTGTTTTTATCACAGGGGTTAAATACCAAACCCGTGACGTCATAACTGTTGATCATGTAGTAGCAAAGTGAAAGTGAAACGTAACGAGAATTCATGTAAGCCAACACAAGAAATCGGAGTTTAAAATCATTTAGAATGAATATCATGTGTGATTCATGTGGGAATAAAGCTTATGAATAAGGTATGCTGATGTATTTCTACAATCTCATCGTAAAATAAAAGAAGACAGGGTGTTTACTTGCCGATCAGCATTTTCTCTGTCGATCATTCGTAACAAAAAAGATGCAAAAGTTCAACACTACGCCGCACATTTTGAAACTTAATTTTTGTTTCTATCTTAAGTTTTTATTCTATTGATTTTGGAAAGTGATGCTAGAATCGTATGGTTTACAAGAATTGATGCAATTTTTTCGATCTTATGAACAAAATGTAAAAATTTTGGGAAGGTTTCGTCCGAAAGTGTTGAATAATTATTTCTGTGAAAGGACAGTAGGATTCTAGCAGCACTTTTCATGGTACAGAGATGTTTTTACACAACTATTATAACAAATTGAAATTAATTATCCCCGAGGTAGTGTTGAACTTTTCACGTTTTCATTTAGGTATTTTTACTAATAATAGACGTCACGTGGTGACGTCGTGTTGAAGTCTTTCCTGTAGTATAAGTCCCATTGAGGTCTATAGAATGCATAATGATAAGTTCTATCCATGACTTTTCCGATTTATTAGTGTTACATATTATTAAAAAAGTGTTAATTAGCCTAATTTTGATCAGTGTATATGTGATTAACTCTACCGAGAAGCCCTTTGGGCATCACAGGATTTGATCACATGACCAATTAAGTTAATTTCCCAGAGAACCCTTTAACTTTGTTGTTTATTTTTAAATGAGCTATTTACATTCAGACACAACAATAAAGACAACAAGTACTACAGAAGCAACAACAACCGCAACGACAAAAACAACAATTATAGCAAATGAAACATTCTGATTTCTAATCTCTACAGGGGGATACAAGTATATGCATTTGCAACATCGTTTTGTAAATGAATATACGAAAAAAATAAATCAATTCAAGAAACATTCTGTATTAATTAATCATTATGTAAGTTATTGTACTCTACTTAATGTTTTAATAGGTACATCTTAATCAAAAATGTTTTCATGGTCTACCATTTTCCCTTCCAAATTAATATTCTAAGGTTTGTTAATTATTCTAAAAGCAAAGGGTTTTTCCAAGGGATATCAACTGGTGTTTTGTCTTAATTTATTAAATGTCATCGGTTTGATTTTACCATGATTATTTCCTTATTTTTTTCGAAATCTTTCGTGTATCTTAAGGAAATGTTAAATTAAATGTAAGATTACTTTTTTTATATAGAAGAAGGAGAATTTGTCAATTTGTGTATTGTACATAATCACTTTTTTAAAATTCTGTCGTTCTGTCGTCTGTTCAAATAAAACTTTTGATTTATTTAAAGTGTACATGAAGTTTAGATCAAAGTCTTAATATTCAAAATGCTTTTTTGCATGGGATTGACGAATTTCTTGATCCAATCTAGTTAAAAACTAATGTAAATTGATTAAATACAAAACCTTTCAGTTACAATTGCAAAATATCTTCTGAAACGAAAATTCTATATAATGTATTAACATGATTAATTAGACTTCTTAAATGAAAAATAGAGTATGCAATTGGGGAAACCTCTTTTGTCTTTTTATATTTTTTTAATTTTAAAATGCGTTTATAAATCTACACTGTTGATACTAAACACTTCAAGATTCCCTGATGACTGGGAACTACTATAATCAATAAAAATAGCTATTTATAATTAGGTAGGAAAATACGCAAAAGTTGAGTAAAATACTTGAATTCAAATTATTTATTAATTCTCTTTTTATCCACTCAAGTAGTTTCATAACAGAAGAATTTGATTCAATTATGAAGGTGATATACATGTACACCTTTGCTAACTTATTTGTAAACTAATTATAATCTTGATCAATGAAGTTTATAATGAAAAGTAAAACTAGCCAACATTAATCAGGCTCAAAAGTCGATTCAAGCAATGCACATTGTGAGTAATGCCAACATGAACCTCTTGAAAAAGAGATGGGATCATGTATCATTCTTGAAAAGTTTCTTTGAAACCGAGCTTTGAACTGAGATTAACGCAAAGTGTGACGGATGGATAGACGGAATGACAGAAGGACGGAAAGATGAAAGATGGACATGACAAATACTATATACCCCGACCATATTCACGGCGGGGCATTTAAGAGGATAAATCCCTGTTGTTCTTTCATATAACAAAAACTTGAAGCGCTCTGCTTCAAGTCCATCCCCTACTAAGATAGCAGACATACAGACAACTTAGATATCCAGACCTACTGTATCCTATCATGTAAACACCTGGAATGATAACATCTGTATTAAGTTTCATCACTGTACTATTGACACTTTGAGCACAAAAACACATATTTATATCCACAACTTTTCCACTAATAAAAGTAACTTTCACAATATGAAAAGCCTTTCCGTAGCTTGTTCTTGTTACTTGAAAACTAGTGAAGACACGAGAACTTGAGTTGAGTGAAAATGTCATTTATTGACCAAATAAATGACGAAAGTGAACAAAAACACATAAATATACAATATTACATACAATCATGTAAATTATAGCTGGGATAAGGCCAAATAATGATTAGTTTCAACTAAGATATGATATATTGCGACTTAGTGCTTATCCCAGCTATTGTTATATAATGATTACCAAGTTTGTGTAACAAGAAGGTGACGTAAACAAAGAGGCCAAACAGCATGCAAAATGCTTGCATGAAGCATGCAGCGCCACCCAAGGAAAGGCATTTCATAAATTATATACTGCTCAATATTAAATGTAGCAAACATGTGTTCTTTAACAGATAATAACATTGTGAACTGAATATCATGTAACCGTATGGACTAAATAAGCATAAACATTAATAACCCACATAAGCACAAAGTTATATCTGAATAAGTAACAAAATATAAAGGACAAAGGTTACTAAACCTGTGAATAACATAAGGTTAACGAGACTAAAAAAGAGACCATATGCTACCTCAGAAACAACATGAGCTCATTTTTACAATTAATATTTTATGAACATCCACATGCTGAACTTATGCACAAAATTCAGAGCAAAATCCTGCTGAGTTCCAACTAACATACAGTTTTTATAAGCAGCTGTTCGCTGACCTGATACACAAATTTTTGAACTTCTAAGCTCATGACATGATACAATTTTGTAAACAGACATATGCTGACCTGATACACAATTCTCAAGACCAAATTTAAAGCTGAATTCCAACTAACATACATAAATTTTATGAGCATCTGGGTGCTGTCCTCAAGTATATTAGCTCGCAAATTTAAGGCCAATATGAAGAGTAAAATGTGCATCTAACTAGCACTTAATTTTCAAAGCGAACACTTTGCAAGATCACTGACCAAAGTACTATTTTATTTAAGCAGCTAAATGCTGACCTCGGAAGGTTTAAATTTGTTTTCTTTTTTTTGATAGGATGCTTTAAAATTTTACAATTTATAATAATAATAATAATAATAAATACTTTATTTAAAGAAGGTAACCTGGTTAGTGCATGCACTATTCTTCCCCAGGGCCTTCTATATATATCAAATACAAAAAATAATACAGAATACAATTCATCATATATAATAGTAATATGTTTAAGGAATTACAATCATACGATAATGAATATAATGTCCATGTATAGTTTTAACAATCATAATACAATATACAATATCGAAACCTTATTGTCCTCAAAAAATTGTGCGACAGCTGATGATGTAATTTTCTATATTACGCTTAAATGTTCGTAGAGATTGAGAGAATCTAATGTGTTGGGGAAGTTTATTCCATAGATGTACACCTGAATACTGAAAAGATGTCTTGAATAAGTTTGTACGAAATTTCGGCAATCTTAGATCATAATTACTTTCAGATCGTAGATTATAAGAAGTAGAAGAATGAAATTCAAATAAATTACAAAGATATTGGGGAGTCGTTCCACTGAAAATTTTGTATAATAATATGTATTTGTATAGATCAACTAGCTCATAAACTGTTAACCATCCAAGTTTCTCAAACAGTGGTTTAGAAGAAGAATCTGGACTTGCGTCAAGAATAATCCTTGCTGCCCTTTTCTGTAATTTAAATAATCTGTCCATGTCCTGCTTGGGGGCATTACCCCAAATAGTCAAACAATAGTTAATAGATGGTAAAATATAAGCATTGTAATATAGTTTTCTGGTATGTAGAGGGAGAAATTTCTTAATCCTTCGAAGAGTAAATAACTTATAATTTATCGTTTTACAAACCGAGTCAATATGATTTGCATACTGTAACTTATCATCAATATGTACACCAAGAATTTTTTCAGTTTCAACCATTTCAATTGTTTTGTCTGAGGCATAAAGTTGTAAATTTGGATTATCTAATTTTGATTTTCTTTGCTGTGTTCCCATTAACATACATTTTGTTTTATCTACATTTAAAACCATTTGATTTTGAGCACACCATTTCTCAATCTCACAAAGATCTTAATTTAGTGTATTTTCTAAACATCTTGCATTATTATTATTAGAATACAGAGTTACATCATCAGCAAACATATCAATATTTGAATTGTTTACATGTAATGGAAGGTCATTTATGTACAATAAAAATAAAAGTGGGCCCAAAATTGACCCTTGTGGCACTCCTGCTGTGACGGGTAGAATATTGGAGACACATGATCCAAATTTAACACACTGGGTCCTATCGTAAAGATATGATTTAAACCACTTTATAGCTGTTTGGTCAAATTTGTAATGGGTTAATTTCTCTAGAAGAATATCATGATTCACTAAATCAAATGCTTTACTAAAATCTATAAATGTTATACCGATTAATTCACCACGATCCATTGCAGTAAGCCAACTTTCTGTTAGTTTTGTAAGTGAAGTTTGACAGGAATGGAGTTCCCTAAACCCCGACTGGGATTGTGTTAGTAGATCAAATTCATTAGTGAAATTTTGTATTAGCTTAGCTACATGTTTTTCTATCAATTTAGATATAGTTGGTAGAATAGAAATAGGACGATAATTATTCGGGTCAGCTTTGTCACCTTTCTTAAAAATAGGTGTTACTATGGCTTGTTTTAAATTTGTCGGGAAAATACCACTTGCTATGCTAGCGTTAATAAGATGAGTTATAGGTTTACATATATATTTAGATGTGACTTTCAGAAGACGTGGCCCAATGAAGTCAATGCCAGCTGATTTATTGATATTTAGAGAATTTAACATGTTATAAACTTCACTTTCCTCAATTTGATGAATACTAAACAATGTTTCTTCATCAAGCTTAGACCTAACAAAATTACATAATATATTAGGATCATAATCATGTTTTGGCATATCCAATAGAAGCTTGTTAGAGACATCCGTAAAGTGGTTATTAAAAGTATTTGCAATATCCTGTAAATTGTCAACAATTTCACCATTAGAAGACACATGAGATGGAGTTGTATTCTTAAGATTACATGTTAATTGATTAAGATAGTTCCACATTTCTTTGGGATTTGAACTCTGTTCAATCGCTGTTTTATAGTAAGAAGATCTTGATTTGTTTATAAGAACGCTAACTTTGTTTCGATAAATTCTATAGTTCTCCATGTCTCCTTCTTTGTGGTAATAGTCCCGTAAATGTCTAGCATTGTTTATTTCTTGTGTCATCCATTTAGGACGGATTTCACTCTTTACTCGTTTTGTTTTAACCTGTGCATGCTGGTCAAGGACGCTATTAAATAATTCATAGAATTCAGTTAGTATTTCATTAGGGTCATGCATCTGGAGGAGATTGTTAAATTCTATTTGTTTTAAGTCTTGGAGGAATTTATTTTCATCAAACTTTTTGAAGTCTCTATACTGAATTTCTATGTGTTTTCCTTTTTGCGGCATGCATTTTGTTTTTCTAGTGGCACATATTGGGTAGTGATCAGAGATGGCTATAAAAGGTATATTTACTTCACATATGTTATCTGGTTTATTGGTGTAAAAGTGATCTATTAGGGTACTTGAGGTATTAGTTACTCTGGTTGGTGTTGTAATTAATTGTGAAAAACCATACTCTTCTATAGCATATGTCCAACTTTGTGGGGGTTCTTTGAATAAGTCTACATTAAAGTCACCTGTTAAGATAATTTCTGCATCGTCACAGCAGGAGGCACAGTTAATCTCTCTAGCCAGGTCCTCTGCCCAGCAGGAGGGAGCAGATGGTGGACGATATGCTGAACAGTAATAAATTGGTTTAGAATTTTTAATCTTTAATTCCAGCCAAATTGTTTCAATATTACTGATTTCAAAATCAGGCCTACGTTTATATCTTATATTATTAGAAATGTAGACAATAATTCCACCACCTGCTCTCAGAATGCGATCTTTTCTTTCCATATCGAAACCCTCAATATACAATTCAGAATCACTGACTTGGTCATTCAAGAAGGTTTCACAAAGTCCTAAAATATTTACAGTTTGTTTGTCATGAAGTAATAGTTTAATTTCTTCAATTTTAGGCAATAAGTGGCATATGTTTAGATTTCCAAATCTTAGACCTTTTTTCACCAAACCAAACCCATTATTGCTCGGTACATGTGGTACATGTATATTCTCATTTTTAGATATAGTATGATTAGCAGATTGTGAAACCTTCTTGGTATGAAATCTTTGAGTATTCTTGTCTGGTTTTGAGAATTTAGAAGTATTTGGTGAAGTAATTAAATTTTTTGAATTTGTTACAAGATCTAGAGAAAAATATTCACATTGTTTGCATGAACAGTGGATCTTATTACATTCTGAACATAATCTACTAAGAGTCGAATAAACATTGTTGTCAAGAGAAATCGTTTGGGAACTATGGTCGGCTACACATTCGTTGCCAGTTTCCTAGTGTCCATTCGGACAAAGCTTGGTTTTATGACCTAGTTCCCCACAATTCCAGCAGTCCAACTTTCTTCCATGTCTGCAGTGTCGTGATATGTGTCCACTTTCTCCACAGAAATAACAGAAGGCTGGACGGCGGAAGGAAGTACTGCCAAGTATTTCCGATTCTACCATTCGTACGTACGTTTCCGACTCTGAGGATACTCACGTATTGATGGAAAATTTTTAGCAGTTCTGCTGTACCTCTGTCTGACAGATGAATGTTGTCTTTCCAATAATACTCTTGTTTGGGATTTCCACGACCAAAGAATTTAGAAGTTGGAATCACTGTACCACCATATATTTCACATACACTTTTAATAATTCCATTAACTTCACTGGTGTTTGTATCACGCCTTGGTAATACTTCCGAGATAAATACACTGATACTAGAATTCCGATTTCTGAGATCTGTGATTACTTCTGCGAAATCATTTTCTATTGCCTCTGGGTCTCGTCGTCTAGATGCATCATTTCCGCCAGCATAGATAATTACACTACGATATGAAGAAACATCCATTTTTGAGAGCTTGGACCGTATATGGGAGATGTTTGCCCCGCGATTTGTGCTGACCTGCACAGTTGAACGCAATCCTCTGGTGCGGATCCTTTGTAGTATGGAACTTCCTATGATGAGGACAGATTTATCCGCTGGGATCTTTCTAGGTTGATTTGTGCCATGTTTGGTGTTTGAATCTGGCGAGGTAGGAAAACTCCTAGTACATGTAGTATGAGCTTCACTGGCATCTGTCATGGTACTGTTGGATATTGTAGGAGCTTTAAGGGTGCATTGGGTATGCCTTGATACACCAGCTGGAATGTGAAGGAGTCCGTCTGTTGATGTCTCCTTTTGTTTTGTCCTATTAGGAGTTGTTTGGATAGCTCTTGAAACAAGCGATGTGACATTTTTTGACCCATTTAGTTGCTGTTTTAGGTCACTGACTTCTTGTGACAAAAGCTTGACGGTATCAGACAATTCCTGAATAAGTTTGGCACTGCTAATACACTGATGACAATTCTGTGATGTCTTACCCTTAGGGGTGGAGGTGCATTGAGGAGATGTTTCATCTAAAGTCTTACAATTTGTTTCCAAATTTACATCCAATTTATTCAAGTCCGTGAGGAACTCCTGATACCAAGAAAAATACGACTCCCCTTGGATATGTAGAGAGCTTGTTGTCTCGTAGATGGTAACAGTGACAGTTTTATCCTGTGATTTATAAATAGATCCATGTCGCCTTTCATTGCTGTCTTTGAATAATAGGAGTTTCTTCTCCAACAGATCTAAAATGATGGGGTACTTGTCGCCATCGAAAGTAATTGTAACACTTTCCTGATTTTCCTGTACTTGCAAGAAATTTGGCACATTATTTACACTAAGTCCCACAGATTCCGTTGGAAGATCATTAGTTAAAATAAATGATCTTGAAAATCCGGTAAATGAGTCCAAAAGTGACTTGAAAAGATTAGAATTATCACTCAAACTCATTATTATTCCATTGTTAAGCTAAGTAGAGATAAGATCTTCAGGAGCTGTAAAAAACACGTCTGGTCACCTTGACTGCTTATCAGTTTATCACAGCAACCATTAGCTGGCCTAATAGACTTGATTTATATGTTTAATTACTGAAATGGATGTAAAAAGTTTATCAGATTCTAATTAAATTCTGGAAAAAAAAAACAAAAACAACCATATGCTGACTTCTCTCTTTGGATAGTCGATGGCAGTACATGTATAAGGGGAAACATTTAGTTTGGAATTGATTTATACGTTTAATCACTGAAATGGATGTAAAAAGTTTATCAGATCCTATTTCAATTCTGAAGAAAAACAACCATATGCTGACTTCTCTCTTTCAATAATCGATGGCAGTACATGTTTAAGGGGAACATTTAGTTTGGAACTGATTTATATGTTAAATCACTGAAATTGGATGTAAAAAGTTTATCAGATCCTAATTAAATTCTGGAGAGAAACAACCATATGCTCACTTCTCTCTTATCATAGTCAATGACAGTACATGTATAAGGGAAACATTTAGTTTAGAATTCTTAACATCAATTGTGGAATTTAAAACCTGACTGCATTTATTTTACTGTAACGTCTTTTGAGTGCCAACGACCGAGTTGTTGGATTACAATTTCAGATAAACCATTCTAAGCTGCCACTAGCAGTACAAAACTTGCAGTACAAACACAAAAACTATGACCAAAGTAAAGCAATCAGTTGAAAACTTATATTGCATGTTTTGATTGGAATCCCACAAAACTATACTTAACTGGTTCATCAGATTTGAAGGTGAATAAAGGATTAGATGTGTGTTTATGTTAAGTAATGTATACTTTTAAGGCATGAACTGGACAAAATTGACATTTTAAGTCATTGGCTGTTAAAGTAAGTATCACTGGATGCCTATCATTCATAGTTTGGAATATCTCATTGTTATCTAAAGTGAATTATCATCAAGAAAGATTATGGCTTGTCTTTGAATTACTTCGAGTTGTATGTGTTGTTTATAGGAACGAGTTTGCCTAAGTGCATAAAAATGTTCAAGGCAAGAAGGAAGACTGCTGATAGTTGGTTCTTGTATCTGCTTCTTGAAAAGAGTGAAATAAGTCAGATACTAATTCATTAAGATGGGTTTTGTGATTGGAAGCTCTGGGCTCTTTTGACAACTTTCCTACCATAGAGGAGTATTTGGTTCATAAAATTAAAAATTGCAAATAATTCTTTCTGTAGATGGAAGATAAAACAGTAAACTATGAGTTTTGAAGGTATAACTGCTGTATTATCAGCTAAAAGGCAAATTTTGATAGCTGAAATATGGGACCCAAATGTCTACTAGCAAAATGATTGGAAGAACTTTAAGATAAATTTGACAATCTATATGAATATCTAACTAAGATTTAGCAGACCATTTTAAACTTTATACAGTTTCTTAACCCAAAGCACCAGATGCATCTATCTACTTATAAATGTAGCTTCTGTAAAGAACACCACTAATACTGATGAAATATTGACTTGCCACAAAAATGATCCATATTAAAAGGCTACATTGCCTTAATTCCACATGTTCCTTAGCAGTTGATTTTCTATGTAATGGTTTGGTTTGCAATTGAACTCAGAATTCAAATCTATAAAGAGTCTCAAACAATGCACGACCAGGTGTGACCACTTGACAGGCAAATTTTGAACATTTATCCTGGACTATCCCTCTCAACATTTGTCTAATATTAATGAGTCTGTTCTCATGTCTTAGATAATCTACTTCCTATAGGAATAGAATCTACCTCAATTCCATATATAGTCAAACAAGTTATTGAGAAGACAGTTTTTGTTTCTTTAGAGGAAAATATACTCTCAAACGTAAATGTTTGAAGTTTCTAACATCAGAGAGACATTTTGAGATATTGGCCTGATTTTTATTCCAACATAAACCATTACAAGGACCTGTTTAAAACTTAAACAAAACTGACAAGATGAACTAGCACCCATTGGTTAACATTTATCAAATAATATTGATTGTTAAATGATAGTCTGAATGTGCTTTGGGATATTTCTAAAATCATCTCCTATGTCTAGCTTAGCCATAAGTGCCTCTCAGATATAATCTGTAATACATTTTCATTAATGTCACATTGCACAACTTATTTTTCACAAAATGTCTTCATTTACTGATAATACATTATATCGCCAAATTATCTATATATATTTATATGTATTTGTTTGCTTTGAGAATGAAATGATTTAAAAATCAGAATATAATAGCACTTTTAATAGTGTTCACCAAATGACATGGTGAATCTGCACATACATGCACTTGCAAGAATACGAAATGAGTAAAATGACAAATATATTTAATATAGCCAATTTTCAATTATTTATGATGAATTGCTTTTAAAATGGATGCATTAAAAGTGTAAACATTTTGATATGGTCATTATGTATGTGCATGTATTTGCGTGTGTGTAAACCCTAAAATGACTAAAATATTAGATTGCCTTATTTTATGAAGCTTGCCGGGAATAGGATACCAGGAAGGACATAAGGAACTTGGGGGAGCATTTAGTGAACATCTGAAATGGTTCCCATTATAATTAAAACTAGTTGACTGAGGATTTAATGATTAACATTATTTTCTATCTGAAATGAAATATTTTTCTATTTTAAATTTAGAAGTAAACTTTGAGGTCAATGAAATGATCATTAAAGATTTTATTTATTTATTTATTTATTTATTTTATTTGTCTACTGATAACGGGACAGAATCTAGTTGTTACTGTTAAATGTATCTGCCACCGAAAACCTGAAAAACAATGCAACTGTTATAAGGAAAAGCAATGCAACTAATAAGGGTGTTTACCAAATAGGAACTATTCAAATCAGTAGAAGATGTAATAGAAGTCTGTGGTGCAGTGGTGCAGCCTTTGAAGCGATCTTGTTTGTAGAAGCATTGCTGGGAGTCAAGGCTGTTGCTGTTGTCTAAGATTTGCTGCTGCCAGCTGATTTTTTGGAGCAGCCACTTGAGTCGATGATCAATTGGAATCCACCGAATTGCCCAAACTGAACCCACAGAGAGCAATTGAGCCGGTTGACTGTGTAACTTCACCTTTTTGGGTGGCTTCGGACCCATCACATTTTCCTCTTTTTTGGTGGCATTTTATTCTACAATAAGTCTAAGCAGTTGTAATTGCCATAGGTGATAATATAATAGAAGTAATAATTTTCTTTGCCACCAAGCTATAAACACATGGTAGATAGGAGCAAACATGCTTACATTTTTCATCTTTATCATTTGTTATTGAACTCTTCACAATGCATGTTGCCAATCTATTATCATATATATACAAGTGTCGGCTCAGCTTAAAATAGGTCAGTTCATCATGGTCATCATAAAATTCAACAACCGTGACATAAAAGTGATAGGCAACCCATTTTTTTTATAAATAGATAAAAAGATCTTCCAACCTTCATTAGATACATGGAAGATCAAGAAAAATAAACTGGAGCCTTCACATAGTCACATGCAAAAAGACATTGATAGGCAAACCACTTATAAATAAATAAACAGATCCTCCCAACCTTCATTAGATATTGGGAAGATTAAGAAAAACAAATTCCTTTTTTGAAATAAAGAAACAGATCGTCCCAACCTTCATCAGATATTGGGCGATTAAGAAAAACAAACGGTAGCCTACACATAATATGATGGAATCAATTCACGATTCCCAACATCAATTGGAATCAATTGACGATTCCCATACTGACCAGTACTGACATGGACAAAAACAGCTGGAGCTTTCACATACAAAAAACATTGATAGGCAATCATTTTTTAATAAATAAACAAATTGTCCCAACCTTCATTGGATATTGGGAAGATTAAGAAAAACAAATTGGAGCCTTCACATAATATGATGGAATCCATTGGCGATTCCCAAAATTTTTACAAGTGCTGACATTGACAGCAAATTATTAATTCATGTAACATAATGTGCAGAGACATGTCGAGGTTTACGTTGAAATTAAATAAGCACTAATATAATGTCATATTTTTGTGTAACATGTGACATGACATATTGCGGCATTAGCCAGAATCTTTATCACATGCATTCAGTGTTTTCCCTAAGAGCCGGCAATCAGGTAAATTGACCACTTTAAATGACAAAATTGTCGCTTTAGAATAACAATTTGTTGTAAGATCCACAGAGATTTTGTGATCTCTAATCCTTTACGTTGAAATAAATGGAAAACACTGATGCATAACAATCTATCATCATATGTGCAATGTACTACTTATCATTATTCTCCCATCCAATCAGATTGGAGGCATGGAGGGCAGCACTTTTTATGTTCTGAAGGTACTTCTTCATGAACCGGTGGTCGCAGCTGTTGTCTTCAGGTGAACCCCATCACTTGCCAAGTATTTCATGTCTGGGTTCCAGAAACTGCAGTGGTGCCAAATTTAATTATTGCTGGTGAACTGGTGATATTGATGGTGTAAAAGTTTATTATTGTCAATCACTGTCGCCTACTTGGATGGATGTCTGCTGACCAACTTGAAAGTCGAGTAATATTCTCTTGAGCTGGCTAGCTCGCGGGTCTTGAGACCGCCCCTGGCTCATATTAACAATTTAAATGTATGTTTCTATAGCCGTGAATTATCGAAATCTGGTTCATTCAGTTAAAAAACACAAAGCAACTCTTCAAAGAAGAATTGACCTATCTGCACTACAGTGAGCGGTTTGGGATATCAGGTTTTTACCTCCATGCTGACTAATCCGAAATCGATTAAGACAATTGCACAATCCATTAAACTGTTCAAACTGATAACGCATCTGAGGTGGTGTCACAGGAGTAGAAAATATAGCTTTAAATCAGAGAAATTTGAATATCTCGATCTCTAAATTGATTCCAACCTCATGTTTGCGTAAAATCAAATTAATTGAGCACTCGATCCCGATCAAGCCGAACCCGATCCAAACATGAGTTCGATCCCAATCCAGTCGACCCCACTCTTTTTACATTAAAAATCAATAACAACTGCAATTTTAATCTAAATTTGTCAAAAACAATGTAAAAAAGATTGTATATAAATCATTTTATGAGACATAAAATTGTATTTGTTACAATCAACATAATTGGAGATAAAAAGGCCGCAATTTTTTGTAGGGAGCTAGGGATACCTACAAATGTACCAAAATAACAATGGGCACATATGGGGACCGAGTGTAAGCACACGTATCCGATCCGAACGGTCATCACGTTATGCACCAGTGTATGCGGGACTGTCCTTCTCCCTGTCTCCAGTGCAACCTGGTGTACCCATTTACTATACTATACTGTGGTTTCCCTCCGCTTGTGCGAGGTGGAGGTGAAACCAGCCATGACAGGCCATGAACCAAGGATGTTTCCATATAATGTTACTGTAGTGTATTTGGTTTTTTTTTAATTTTAATTTGGATCAGGCTCGAGGGTTCACCGATCTCTCTCTTCCCGCGTTTCCGCCAAGCCAGGTGCAGGCCATGTTGTGAGAGCTCCCAGATTTTGTTGTGTTATCAATTCAATTGTTCATAATTGATATATTATTCTTACTTGAAGTGATTTAATTGTTTTAATACTATTAGGAAATCACTTTATTGGCGTCGCCGGTAGGATTTCTGACGGTCTTACGAGACCGAAGCGGCGCTTAGGGGACGCCGCGCGGTCAGGCCATGTGCAGGTGATTATGTTTTAATTATTTCGGCGGTGAATGGAATCAGGGTTAAGTTATGAAATTTGCTAGAAATCAGTGATTGGAATATGTATTTTTGTGAATCGATTTTTCTGTTTGATTTGTAATGATTTTGTGATGTATTAGTGTTTTAACGTTAGGGCCATAGGTCAAGCCAAGCTTTTATTTGTTGTCAGTTGTCCTGGAGTTATGAGTGAAAAGAAAAGGTTATTTGGTCGAGGTAAGGAGAGTCCCGAGCGCATGAGCGGTATGGGTGTCCTTCGGGGCGAGGTAGCTAGGCCGGGTGGTTTGGCAGGGGCCCAGGGGCAGGATGCTAATGCATGGGGAGATATTCAACCTGACAGAGAAGGCCAAATTTTTTTAGGCTAACTCCTTTTAGACCACCAGTATTTAGTACTCCAAGCAGCAGCGAGGGTGTGAGTATCCAGTGGCTGCAACGTTATTGTTGACAAACCAATCTTGTAGAATCGTTCGTGGATCGTGCGTGATCGTTCGTGTAACGTGCGAGATCGTGCGTGTATCAGACTCAATCGTTTGTGGTTTTATCGTGCGCGATCGTGCGTGTAAATTTCGTTATCTAAGTTTTAATCGTTAAGTCTATGAAATTATATTGATAATTCTTTAAAATCTATAATCAGTATGGAGTCGTATTTCGTTTTGAAAACATCGATTCTTAAATATTTTGAACTATTTTGAGTGAAGAATCGTGCGTTTGCGTTAGCAATCGTGCAAGATCGTGTAATGTGTAGAATCGTTTGCGTGAAGGATCGATCCTTTAACAGGTTTAATCGTGCGTTAATCGTGCGGAATCGTTCGTGTAACGTGATCAATCGTGTAAGTTGTCAACAATAACGCTGCAGCCACTGTAAGACAGCGGTTGGGGAAGTAGATATGTCCCTCACCCTGGGAGTAGTGACAGGCCTGTACTGGGGACAGCTGGGGGTGGACCACATCAGAGCTTGGGGTTTACACCGAGCAATGATCAGGTCCTGGCTTGGTTAAAGGGAGTTCAGACCCAATTAGCCCAACTGACCCAGATCCTGGTAGGGAAGTCAGGGGGTAACCACTCCCTGGAATATAGTGTAGGGAAGGAAAACAGGAACACTGCAGTAAGAAGGCACAATGTAACCTCATTGAGTAGCCCTTCAGGGAACCCCGGGTCAGGTGGTTTGACTTGTGTAACTAGTGTACCCAGCAGCACCCAGGCTACATGTAGAAGAACTATTGTAGTCTTCTCACATGGGGGCTAATCTGGGCAGAGGAATAATGAGGGGCAGTGTAGAGTCTTGTTTTCAGGTGGGTATGGCGGTAA